GGGCACGTCCCCCTTACAGGGCGATTTTCGACGACAAGTAACACATATTCCAACACCAACTCAAACATATACAAACATTGTCACAACATCGTCCCCAGACTCTCGGTTGACTATTTCTGAATACTCTTCATGTAAAGGGACAGGCCCGACTTAAGTCTTATAAAGGGATGCCAGGGTGGCTTGAGTCTGGACGAACCTGCAGTAGAAATGGGTTACAAGTACCATGGCAGCTCAAAGGTCTGACGGTCTGGGCTAAATGGGCGCCACCCACTCCGAAGAGTTCTCCACCGCCCCAAAGCCACTCGGGGCACTGTAACCCGTTTATGAAGTAGGTTTGGCTAGATATCACCCAACTCGGCATTCAGTCATAACCCCCCAACCCCTGAGCACCCCCCGCGGTGATCCAAGTGAGGCTCCGGCTTGCGCACGTCAAGAAGTCAGAAGCCCCCCTTTGGTGGACCCAAAAGAGGATCCAGCTGAAAAGGGGGTGGTGCAACAGATTTTGGGCATTCGTATTGCACAAGTAATTACTGCGCCGATTGCATTGTCTTGCAACTAATGTATTACACACGAATATCCAGCAACCCATTGGGTTACCAGGATCCATTACACGCCCCAAATCGCTTGCAACCCCACAAATCGACTGCGCCAAATATGGTGCACCAGGTAGCCCTGGCTGGTCACAAGAAGGCCCCCCCGAGTAGTCTGGGGTGGCCTCACCACCTCAGACCTGGAGGAGGAGAAGGGGAGGAGGAGGAGAAGGAAGAGGAGGAGGAGGAGTAAGAGGAGAAGGAGGAGGAAGAGGAGGAAAAAGAACAGGCAGATGAAAAGGAGAATGAGGAGGAGGGAGCAGAAAGAGGAGGAGGAGGAGGAGGAGGAGGAGGAGGCACAGGCCGACGAGGAAGAGGGGGACGAGGAGGAGAATGAGGAGGAGAAGCCGGAGGAGCCGGAGGAGCAGAAGAAGCAGGAGAAGCAGGGAGGAGGAGGAGGAGGAGAAGGAGGAGGAGGAGGAGGCGGAGGGGAGGGGAGGAGGAGGAGGAGGAGTAGGAGGAGGAGGAGGAGGAGGAGGAGAGAGGAGGGAGGAGGAGGAGGAGGAGGAGGAGGAGGGGGTGAAGGAGGAGGAGGAGGAGGAGGAGGAGGAGGAGGAGGAGGAGGAGGGTGGAAAAGGGAGGGGGAGGAGGAGGAGGAGGAGGAGGAGGAGGAGGAGGGAGGAGGAGGAGGAGGAGGAGGAGGAGGAGAAGAAGGAGGGGAGGCGGAAGGAGAGAGGGAGGAGGAGGAGGAGGAGGCGGAGGAGGGAGGGAGGAGGAGGGGCGGAGGAGGAGGGGAGTGAGAACATCATGGAGAACGACCGTGCATCCGTCCGAGAGGAGAAAAAGGAGGAGGCCCTCCCGAGTAGTCTGGGGTGGTCTGACCACCTCATCCTTGGGGCGCGCGGAGAGCGCGCCGCCAGAGACGGCGACAGGGCGGGCGGCGCGGACTTCCCAGAACGCAGGCGGGCTTTTGAGAAACCTTCCTTCAGTCTGGCGGCTGGGCGTCCGGACCCTTCTCGGAGGGCCACTGCCTCATCAGAACGCTCCCTCCGTCCCTCGCCTCCCCAGAGACCCTCCCCCTCCCCCTCCTCCTCCTCTCCTCCTACTCCTCCTCCTCCTCCTCCTCCTCCTCCTCCTCCTCCTCTGGACCCCAAGGCCATCCCCCTTTCGACCGGCCCTTCTCCCCGAGCCGTTCTCGAAACACCGACGGACCCCAGGACCCCTCACATGCGCCAAAGGCGACCTCCCTCCTCTTTCTCCCTCCACCTCCTCCTCTCTCCACTTCTTCCTCCCTCTTTCTCCCTCCTCTTTCTCCCTCCACCTCCTCCTCCCTCTTTCTCCTCCTCATCTTCCTCGTCCTCCTCATGCTTTCTCCTTGCATTCGAAGAAGAGCAAGGCTGTAAACGCATAACCTTGCGGAGCTCAGCGCGGATGTCTTGGACCTGCGCTGCAACCCTCTGGCAGCGACTCTGACGCCGCTATTGGCACGCTCCGCGCGCCAGGGAGGAGAGCACAATGCAGACCCAAGAGAACCATGCGGAGCTCCGACAATGTTCGGCGGCGAGCCCAGGGGGGAAGTTAGGTGGCCACATGTGAACCCTTCCTCCGCCCCCCACGATTTCTAAGAGGGGGTGGAGGCCACCGAGAAGTGGGAGAAAACGGGCCTACTCAGAAGGCTCGGAAATCCCCCGGCCTTCTGGTATATAGTCTCAGCCTTCCCCGAACACGGGGCCAACTTCCTCGGAAGGCGCGAGGGCTCCTGAGAAGTCCAGACGCCTTCTTAGAAGGTCTTCCCCTTCTCGCTTCCCCACCTCGCTCGCCGCCGAACGGCTTGCTCGTGCGCAAGTCGCTTCAGCTCATGCTGACCTCGTGCGCGACGCCAAGTTCGTCACGGAAGCGGCGGGGGCCTGAGCCCCCCGTTCAAAGGCGCTCCCGCGACGGAGGCCGTGCCTGGCGTGTGAGACACGGCACGGCCACGCGGGCGGCGAGTGGCGATACCGAGGAAGCTCGGGAGGCAACTCCTGGGAGGGCCTGCGTAGGCCACAGATGCGAACATGGACCCATTGCTGCCCATCGGTCGTAGGCCATGTTCGGAGGTATCCTGACGGTCGTCGGCGGTGTTCGACGGTCTCTGGCGAACCTCGGCGCGAAAGCTGGGCGGTTGCGTTCAACAAAGGGGTCCATGATCGAACACAGAACGGAAGATCGATTAAGGGCGACTGGGCCGGATGAGGCTGGATTGCGCCCAAGGTTAAGCTGAATGATGCGGGATGAAATCAGATCAAACGAGATGGTGACAGAGTATGTCCGTTTTCAACCATGGATATACCACAGCCGCTTGCTGAATCTAGCATCCCAGGAGTTGCATCCCAAAGAAACCTTGCTCGGATACATAAAATCTGCGCTGGCGCTGAAGGGCAGGGAGGACGGCGAGGAGTGCCACGAGACGGGGCAGGAAAATGCTAGGGGATGCAAGGTCGCGTGGGATATTGCACAAAGTTATCTGCGAACGATGCGGGACGATTGCGAACGAAACAAAAATTACAATGAGGTGCTGATCCGCCTCCCTTCCTCCTTGTCCCACTCCCATATCCTCATCATCCCCCTCTTCATCCCCCTCCTTATCGTCCCCCTCCTTCCTCCTCCTCCTCCTCCTCCTCCTCCTCCTCCTCCTCATCCCCTCCTCAGCATCGCCCTCCTCCTCCCCTCCAACCTCCTCCTCCTCCTCCTCCTCCTCCTCCTCGTCCTCCTCCTCATCATCATCATCATCACCCTCAGGAATCTCACGGATTGCAGGCGGCTTCTTTTTCAAAATGTGGATCCCGCCGTGGCGCAGAGCACATTCGTTTTAAACTTTGCAGAATTGTCACGGGTTCCAATGGTTATCGTACCAGGATTGCAGGGCGCAACAGTTACGTTGATTCGCAGTGTTGGAGTCCCAGTACTGGAGTTCTGGCACGACTCAGGATCGTCGAGACGCAACAGTCAGGTTGATTCATGGCGTTGAAGTCCCGAGCATGGTGTTTTGGCACGCTTCAGGAGCTTCAACGGTAGTCTCCCAACGGAGCACTTCCATCAGTGGCAATGAACCGTTGTAGGGCTTTTAAAGAGGGAGCAAAGACGGAGGGTTGACTCCAACATCTGTGATGAGGCTTGGATTTGCACTGGTCCCTCCTCCTCCTCCTCCTCATCTCTCTCCGTAGCCATTTTGGCTCAAGCATATGCGGCTCTCCGTAGTGGCCGGCGTTGGCGAGATCTGGACGAAGTTGCAGCCAGGCAATCTTCGCTGGTGAAGTCGTGTTTCGGTACTTTTCTGAACGCGTCGTTCGGCATCCGTCCCAAGGTTTGGGGTGGCGTCCACCACGGGAAGTCGTGGAAACATAGTGTTCCTCACGTGTTCCAATGTTCAAGTCAACGTCGCCAACTCAAGAGTTGCTTTGGGTGTTATCCTTGCACGTCTTTGTCGGCATCCCGCCCGCGACAGGGGGAGCACGGGGACCTCGAGCTCATCCAAGTCCCACCAAGGCGGCGGCTTCTCGCAGGAGTTTATTATGGGAGGCATTTTATCACAATGCCACGTATAACGACGTGGCATCCCTTCCAAATGGGATGTGCAGGCCGATCATGAGGAATGTAATGGCTCATTGAGTACTGACAGTCGGCGAGACGGATTGTAGCGAAGACGATCTCGACTTCGAGGTTGCCCGTTGACAAATGGTGTTTTTCAGTATTGCAGCGGGCCGTACCGAGTTGAAATCGTTTCTGCTCAGTCGTTGTTTTTTTTTGCAATGCGTTATTCCTTCGAGGTGTCGGCGACTTGGGGCTCATTTCGCGCCTCGCGTACAACCTGGGCTTCCTGGTCGCATTTTTCAGGGCTCTTGTTGTTTGCCTGTTCTACATGCTCTGGTTCGTCACTTGCGGCTCGGAGGCACGGGATGGCATCGCCACTGTTCTCACTCACTCACTCACTAACTCACTCACTCACTTACTCACTTACTCTTTCACTCCGTCCTCCTACTCCTTCTCCTCCTCCTCCTCCTCATCATCATCATCATCCTCCCTCCGACCCCCTCCTCCTCCTCCTCCCTCCTACCCCCCTCCTCCCACCCATCCTCCTCCTCCTCCTCCTCCTCCTCCTCCTCCTACTCCTCCTGGCTCGTAGCTGGGGGCGCTCGGGTCTGTCCTCAGCAGGCTGCCGCCTGCATATGCTTGAAAACTGCATCCCCCCCCCTCCTCCTCCTCCTCCTCCTCCTCCTCCTCCTCCTCCTCCTCCTCCTCTTCCTCCAACTCCTCCTCCTTCACCCTCGTCATTCTCCTCTTCGTCTCTTCCTCCACCTCCTCCTCCTCCTTCCAACTCCTCCTCGTCCACCTCCTCCTCCTCCCCCTCCTCCTCGCCCTCCTCCTCCAACTCTTCCTCCTCCTCCTCCTCCTCCTCCTCCTCCCCCTCCTCGCCCTCCTGCCTCTGGGCAGGTCTGGGGAGGTGGCGAGGGCCGAGACCGAGAAGAGGCATCGGCCCACCGGCCGCTTGGCGGCCAGGCTGGGCGCAAGCCTCGACGGCAGCCGCCGCCCTCTACGAGGGCGGCCGGCAACCGCCGCCGCTCTCCACGAGACGCGCGCCCTGTGCCGCAAGTCGCCGCCGTTCTCCACGAGACGCCGCTGCGCGCTGCACGCGCCGCGCGCTACGCGCGCGCGCCCGCTTCCGACTACAGACCTACCAGGCCACCCCACCCAAACCCGAAGACCCAAACTTTTGTTTTTTTAGGGGGGTACGAATTCCACATGTGCTTTTTCAATATTCCCCGACGCCCCCCCCCCTCCACTGGAAACTGAGGGCAAATCGGAGCCTTCGGGTTGGGCTGGGGTGGTTTGGTGGGCGGTGAGCTTCGGGGCGGCCGAGGCTGCGGCGGCGGTGGGGCGGAGGGAGAGGGAGGGAAGGATAGCACGCCACGGAAAGATGCAACCACACAGACGCCCCCCCGACGATTTCATGTACCCTCAGGGAGGGCGGCAGTGTAGAGCGTCGCTAGCTCTGAGCGGTGATTTACACACCGCCTTCCTCCCCCGAGGGCGGGGGGAGCGAGAGGGACAGGTGGGGACCCAAAGTCCAGGGCTCGCTCGGGAGGTAGTCGAGGCCTTCTCGCGTTCCCGTCGCCTGGCGGAAGTCTTCCAGCCCTGGGGGTGCATTTCAACACCTGCGCCTCCACAGGGCGTTCGGGGGGGGCCTGGATGGTACCAAACGGCCGCCAACAAGTAAGAGTTAGCTAAGACCCGACATCTTCCAGACCTCCAACGCATCAGAGAAAAAACTGGAACGAGAAGTGTTCGCCGCTTTCGGCCTCTGAGGACCTCCAAGACTGCCCTGGAGCACCCCAAGAGGGAGGACACCAAAACGGCTTCCGACAGCGTCAGACGGGCCAGGAACACCCTAAGATGGGCAACGAGGCCCCCGAGAAGCCCCCAAAGGCCCCCAAAGGCCCGAGGAGGCCCCCAAGAGGCCTCCAAGATGCTCCCCGGAAGCTCCCCAGAGGCCCCCAGAGTGCCCCCCAGGGACTCCCCAACTGCCCCCTCCTCCATCTCCTCCTCCATCTCCTCCTCCTCCTCCTCCTCCTCCTCCTCCTCCTGATCTTCCCCGCTATCCTCCCAAAGTGTTCCCCGAAAGGTTTCCACATGGTCCGATAGTTTGGCAGAGCTCTTGCCACGACGCTCGGCCACATGGGCCATTTCAAGAAGCAGGGTGCGGCGGTGATTCGCCGTAGGCATCTTTGATCCGCCGCCCCCTGCTGACCTATCACAGGGGTGACTGGCGTGCTAAACCCTATGCGATCAGATCGGGCATGTCCCCCTACAGGCGGATCTCGGGGGAAAAATAAAATATAGCCCGAAACATCCAAAATAGACACCAAAAATAGAAAATTCGTCCCCAGACTTTTCTGTACTATTTTCGAATACTCACCATGTAGAGGGGCACGCCCGACTCTGGTTCGTTGTCCGAGAGAACTCTTCCTAAGGCTTCGGCCCAGCGCGCGGGCTACCCAGGAGGGACCGCAGAGCACCCAGCGTGCGCCATACAATCCCCACGACGGCTCAAGATTGGCCGCTCCGACGGCCAAGATGTCTCAAGACGGCCTCCAAGATTCCCCCAAGACGGCCAAGATGGCCCTAAGAAGATCCAACATGACCCCAAGATGCACCCAAAATGGCTCAAGACTGCCTCAAGATGGCCTGCGGCAGCCCACATTGTCCGCAAGAGGCCACCAAGAGGCCTCTAGGACGGCCCAAGAAGCCACCAAGAGGGCCTTCAGGAAGGCCCGAAGAAGCCAGCATCACTGAGTTTCCTTAGGTTGCCGGGGGATGTTAGCAGCTGGCTCTGTTCGGTCATCCGACGGACCGGGACGGCCTACGAGCCCCCAAGTATCGCCCCAAGCTCGCCCAGGAGGCCTCCAAGATGGCCCTAGGTCGGCCCAAGATGCCCCCAAGACTTCCTCAAGAGGGCCCCGAGACGGCCCAAGACACCTGTAAGACGCCCAAGATGGCCTCCAAGACAGCCCTGGAGTGCCCCAAGAAGGCCCCAAATCGGCCCAAACAGGCCCCCAACACGGCTTCCGACGGGCCAGGAACGCCCTGAAACGGGCAAAGATGCCCCCGAGAAGTCCCTAAAGGCCCCCAAGAGGCCCGAGGAGGCACCCCAGATGCCTTCAAGAGGCTTTCAAAAAGCTCCCAGGAGGCCCCCAGAGTCCCCCAGAAACTCCCAAGATGCTCCCTCTTCGTCCTCCTCCTTCTCCTCCTCCTCCTCCTGATCTTCCGCGCCATCCTCCCCAAATGTTCCCCGAAGGCATTCCATGCCACCTGAGGGAACACATGGTCCGATAGCTTGGCAGAGCGCATGCTGCAACGCTCGGCCCCATGGGCCATTCCAAAAGGCATGGGGCGGCGGTTCGCCGTAGGCGTCTTCGATCCGCCGCCCCCTGTTGATTGACCAATCCTATACGGCTTGGCTTTGGTTCCTGTTCCCAAGAAACTCGTCCTACCTAGGGCTTCGGCCCTGCGCGCTGACCACCCAAAGGGACCGCAAACAACATTAGCGTCCAGAACAAATCCCCATGGCGGCAAAAAAATGCCTAATCGACGGCCAAGATGTCTGAAGAGGGCCTCCAAGATTCCCAAAAAACTGCCAAGATGGCCCCAAAAGACCCCAACATCATACCAAGATGCACTCAAGACGGTCCAAGATGGCCTCGAGACGGCCTACGGCAGCCCACATTGTCCGCACGAGGCCACCAAGAGGCCTCCAAGACCGCCCAAGAAGCCACCAAGATGGCCTCCAGAAAGCCGAGAGACGCCAAAAGCATTGATGTTCCTCACATGTTTGAGGCATTTTAGCATGTGTTTCTTTTCGGCCTCCCGACGGCCCAAGACGGCCCAAGAGCTCCCCAAGACGGCCCCAAGAGGACCCCAAGAGGGCCCAAGAGAGATGGCCTCCCAACACGGCCCTGCAGCACCCCAAGAGGGCCGCAAGTCGGCCCAGAGAGGCTCCACAGACAACTTTCGACGGCGTCAGACAAGCCACAAACGCCCTAAGATGGGCAAAGATGCCCCCGAGAAGCCCCCAAAGGCCCCAACGAGGCCCGAGGAGGCCAAGAGGCTCCCAGGAAGCTCCAAGGAGGCCCCAAGCGTGCCCCGAGAAGCTCCCAATATGCCTCCTCCTCCTCCTTTCCCTCCTGATCTTCCCCGAGTGCTCCTCGAAGGGTGTCCACAACGGCTGGGGGAACACATGGTACATGGTCCGATAGCCTGGCGGAGCTCTTGCCACAGCGCTCGGCCACCTGGGCCATTCCAAATGGCAGGGGGCGGCGGCGACTCGCCGTAGGCGTCCCCGATGAGGGATATATCGGGAGCGACCAAGAGGGGGGTGTCCAAGAGGGGGGGTGCAAATCATGACCGGCGGCATGTGCGCGGCCCAGCGGGGGGGCCAGGGACGTAATGAAATAAGAAGAGGCGCCATGAAAAATCTGGGGAAATATCATGGCCCCCGCCATGATATTCACCCCCCCCTAGTCATCACCCCCCTCTTTTCCGCCCCCGAATATAGGCTGTCCCCTTCGAGATTCGAGGGGCATGTCCCCAACCGGGATCGGGATGGGGATGGGGATGGGGATCGGTTGAACGATACTGCAATGCGTTGGAAGTCTGGGGATCAGGGAAGACGAGGAGGAGCACCAGGAGGGGGGCACCAGGACCCGAAGGACCGCACCTCGACCGCCGCCGAGCAGCCTCACGCCGCCCCTAGAGCGGCTGGCGGCGCCTCCCCCCCCCAAACCGACGGGCGAGCCGCGGCTCCCATTCGCTGTCCGGAGACGCCGGCGAGGGCTGGAGGCCCCACACGCCCTGAGGCCCCTCCCGCCAGGCCTCGCAGGAGGACGGCGACGAGGACGACGCAGGGGAGGACGGCGGCGGCGGCGACAGTGGCGGCCGAGGCGGGGGAGGAGGAGGAGATGGAGGAGGAGGAAAAGGAGGAGGCGGAGATGTAGGAGGAGGAGGAGGAGGAGGAGGAGGAGGAGGAGGAGGAGGAGAAGGAGGCAGAGGAAGAGAAAAATGACCAGTAGAGACACAAGACGCATCAACGATGCTGCAATCAACCCTCCCTCAACGCTCCCTCCTTGTAGGCCCCAACAAAGGTGTATGTTCACTTCTGGAAATGTTCCCGTTGGTGTGTTCCCGTTGGACATCAACCGTCTGAGAACCCCTAGATCGTACCAACACACCTCTCCTTGACCTTCAACGCCGCGAATCAACTTGATCGTTGTGTCCCGACAATCCTTCATCGTGACAGAACAGCATCCCAAGGACTTCAACCTCGCGACTCAGCATCACTGGATCTGTGAACATACGACTCTAGATGAAAAGCCGGTCCCGGAGAATAGGGTCCATACCTCCTGGTGGTCCAGACCTCCAGGGAAAGGCCCTTGAAAGGGCACCCCAAAGGCCCCCCAAGAAACCTCAATTAGCCTGGCGAAAGACCCAACCATATCCAGTTGTGAATACCGCAGTTGTGAATCTCGTCCTCGGTGGAGCTCCTTATGGGACCACGAACTGTGCGAGGGGCCTGCCACAGTGGTGGTGGTGGGGAACCGCATGCGGGCACCCCCACTGGGGCCTTCGGCGGAGCTCCGTCTGGGGCCACGAAAAGCTGCCCTGGGTGGGGGACCCGCATGCGTGGAACTCCGTATGGGGCTACGAAGCGCTGCCCTGGGTGTGGGAAACGCATGCGGGCAACCCCACTGGGGCCTACGGTGGAACTCTTTATGGGGCCACGAAGCGCTGCCCTGGGCGGGGAAACCGCACGCGGGCACCCCCATTGGGGCCTTCGGTGGAGCTGCCGATGGGGCCACGAAACGCTGCCCTGGGCGGGGGACCCGCATGCGAACACCCCCACTGGGGCCTTCGGTGACGCCCCCTATGGGGCCACGAAGCGCTGTCCTGGGTGGGGGACCCGCATGCGAACACCCCCCAGTGGGGCCTTCGGTGGAGCCCCCTTTATGGGGCCAAAAAGCGCTGCCCTGGGTGGGGGACCCGCATGCGAACACCCCCACTGGGGCCCTCGGTGGAGCTCCCTATGGGGCCACGAAGCGCTGCCCTGGGTGGGGGGCCCGCGTGCGAACACCCCCACTGGGGCCGTCGGTGGAACTCCCTATGGGGCCACGAAGCGCTGCCCTGGGTGAAGAACCGCATGCGAACACCCCCACTGTGGCCTTCGGTGACGCCCCCTATGGGGCCACGAAGCGCTGCCCTGGGTGAAGAACCGCATGCGAACACCCCCCACTGGGGCCTTCGGTGACGCCCCCTGTGGGGCCACGAAGCGCTGTCTTGGGTGGGGGACCCGCATGCGAACACCCCCAGTGGGGCCTTCGGTGGAGCCCCCTTTTATGGGGCCAAGAAACGCTGCCCTGGGCGGGGGACCCGCACGCGAACACCCCCAGTGGGGCCTTCGGTGGAGCTCCCTACGGGGCCACGAAACGCTGCCCTGGGTGGGGGGGCCGCATGCGAACACCCCCACTGGGGCATTCGGTGCAGCCCCCGATGGGGCCACGAAGCGCTGTCCAGGGTGGGGACCCGCATGCGAACACCCCCATTGGGGCCGTCGGTTGAGCTCCCTATGGGGCCGCGAAGCGCTGCCGTGGGTGGGGGAACCGCATGCGGGCTGTGCCACTGGGGCCTTCGGTGGAGCTCCATTTGGGGCTACGAAACGTGTGAGGGGTGTGCCGAGAGCAAAGGCAAGGAGGGGGAGGAGGAAGGAGGAGGGAGAAACGGGAGGAGGAAGGAACGCGGGGCGCTGTCTCTTCAAAACGAAGACCCAACACCACAGGATGGTTGGGGAAAAAATGGCAGAATGGCAAAGCGCCCTGACAACTCTAAATCGTGAAACTGTGGTGCGCGTTTGCTGCGTGCGGCTCTGTAGCGAAAGCACTCAATTGAAAAGGGATAGTTTTCCATTCGTGAAACTCTTGCAAACGTTTAAGACGAATGCGCGCGGAGCTGAGGCGAGAACAGCATTTCGAACACCAGCCGCCTTCATTATGTGAAACCCTCGCACACGGTTGAAGCGAATGCGCGCGGCGCTAAGGCGAGACCCAACATTCGAAACATATGCCGCCCTCCATCCGAAAAGCCCCCTCAACAAAAAAAGACGAATGCGCGCGCCGCTGAAGCGAAAACCACAATTCAAAACCATCCACCCGCCATCCGTGAACTTCCTGCTTAGTTTTAAAACGAATGCGCGCGGCGCACGCAAACAACAAAACAACGCTGACCACACTTTGACGAGGCATCAGTGAACACATTGCGCAACCTTGAGAAACGAATGCGCACGGTGCTGAAGCGAACGCCCCATTGTGAAAATGTCCCGCCCTTCGCCCGCGACGCTCTTGCAGACTTCTGAGACGCACGCGCACGGCGCAGAGGCGGGGAACGCATGTTGAATTGAAAACCACGAGCCCACCGCCATCCGTGGCGCCCCTATACGACCTTCACACAAATCATGCGCGCGGCACTAAGGTTAGGTCGGGCCCGCCCCCCCGCGGGCCGATTTTGGGCGAAAAATGACAATGCTCGAACGCAAAGCTTAACCTAAACGGTTTGTTGTTCCGTTTTCGCTTTGTCTTCGTTTCCCTCGTTTTATCTTCAACGCGCCGCTACCGCAAAACGAAGTTGAAACGAAAACGGCCCACAAGGTCGCCAAAACACCGTTTAGGCCCACCCCCGCTCGAAAAATACCCCCACAGGGGCAAATGCAATCAAAGCGTCGCCCCCAAACTACTTTTTACCGCATTTGAATATTCCCTCTGTAGAGGAACAGGCCCGAATTAACGCTAGGCGAGAACCACTGCAAACTCTGACCTTCAAGATCACGCATCGCGCAGAAGTCCCAGGCGAATCGCCCGGCCCGCCTCGCAGACGCGCGCCGGATTGTTTGACCACCCACTAGCTGCCTCCACTGCGCTGCTGCCGCGCGGCGGGCCATCCTCCAGTAGCGACTGCTGGGGAGGTCCATCAGGGCGGCGATGTAGCCCAGGTAGCGCCTGGGCCCCATCGCCTATGTTGCCGAGGCGCATGTCCTTCAGCGTGTGCACGATGAGCGGCCATCTGATCGCGTTCCATGTGATGTGAGTCTCCTGGGCCCCCGGGAACCGCAGCTCTTCTCGGTCTAGCTCGCCGCAATCCGGAGCGTCGTTCCCATCGGCTGTCTGCCCCGGCGCCTTCGCCGCGAGCAGCGGGGAGACGGTGTCTTGGCTGAGGGGCCGTCTGCGATGCGCTGGCCTCGCCCCCAAGTGCCCTCATCGCCTCTCTGCCGCCGTGCTCGGGCCAGCGCCTGCAGCCTGCAGCTGCCTTGGCCGCCGCGCCAGCCACTCGGCGCCCTCGGCCCACTGCTGCTGCTCCGCTGACGCTGCGCACGGCTTGGGCCGGCGCTGCTGCCATTTGTAGTTCGCCCTCTCGAAGTGGCCCTGTCGCTTGCTGCGGTCCAGGCCCTCGAAGCCGCGGTATCTGTTCACGTGCCCCTCGTGAGCGCTCCCCAGATCGTTCCAGTGCCCGTCGACGTGGCCCTGGCCAAGCCACTGGCTGGGTCGGGCATCTTGTCGGCCGCGACATTGGCCAGGGCGTCCGCTAGCACGGCGCGTGGATCTTGCGGGCGCCACGGTGGCGCACGGGAAACGCCGGCTTCGCTGGCAGGCGCGGCGCCGCGGCGCAGCCTTCCATCACCTGTGCCTTGAGCCTCTCCGACGCCAGGCCTCGCGAAAGGATGAAGTACCCCGCGTGCTCCGCTCGCCTTCTGGCCTCACGCGTGCACCCGCGTTCTCGTCGCGCACGATGACTCCGTTCACCTTGCCGACGATCTCCGAGTTCTCCGACACCTCTATGCCCATGTTGAAGTCGCCACCGAGTACCCACTCCTGCTGCGTCCATGGCGGTGCCCCACTTCGCTAGAAAACGCCGGCTCCGCGGCGCGATGCCCTCGCTGTTCCACGTGTGGGCTGTCCCGCAGACGAGGCCCGTCCTACTGCGCGCATCGACCGAGGCGACCGCGAGTCTGCCATTGGACTCACGCGGGCGGCTGTCCCACAGGTTGATCCCCTCGCACGCCAAGTCCATACCCTGCTTCGAGCGATTGCAATCGAAAATCCAGCGCTGTGGCCTGACTCGGACGCCGCGATGCTCACCACTCCTATCTTCCATCCCTGCTTGCGCATACGTCTGGAACAGCTCGAGCCGCGTGCCATTTGCCTGCAGTTCCTGTCACAGAATGATGGCGTCCGTGTCGTCGCGCCTGTTCTGCATAATGGCGCGCCCCAGCGAGTTCGCTGTGTTGGCGTTGATCGTGTACACAGCCAGGCTCGCCTTCGGCCCTCGGTGGTTGGCGCCGCCGCTGCCCCCGCGTGGGTAGCCACTGCTTCTTGCTGACGGTGATCGCGTTGCCTGGCTGCAGCTCGCCAGCCCGACATTTGAGAGCACCAGCCACCTTGCCAGCCTGCTCAGAAGTGACCCTCGCGGCCACGAGGGTCCTGCTGATGTCCAGCTCGCTGGGCCCCGCCTCGAGCTCGATGAGGTCCTCCTTGGCCTCTCCGCCGTCGGGGCATCGCCGCTTCTTGGTGTCGGCGCTGGCGCTGCGGTCCCTGTCGGCTCTGCCACGTGCTGCACAGGCAGCCCGCTCCGCCTCGGCCTTCTCGAGGCGTTCGGCGTGCTTGGCGGCCGCCTCCTCCTTCGTCTTCTGCTACTTGGCGAGGTCCAGCTCGGCCGCGAGCTGCTCCTGCTGCTCAGCCCCGCTGTCCAGGCACATCTCCGCTTGCTGCAGGAAGGCCAGCGCTGCAACCCATCCCTTGCCTGGCGGTGGGACCGCCAGCTCTTCGATCCGCTTGCTGAGGCCGTCCAACTTGGTGTTGAACAGCTCCATCTTCGCTCTCTCGTCCATGAACTTGTCCTGCGTCGCTGCCAGCTCCATCTCCGGCGTGTCGATTCTCTGCTGGCACCAGTCCTTCTGGTCCGCGACTCTGGTGCGATCTCGTACCACTCTGCATTCGGTGAAGTAGCGCGGCACTCCGTTGTTCAATGATGCCTGCTCTGCACCGAGCTTCTCCTCGAGCTGCGCCACCTGCGGCTGCAGGGCATCCTTCAAGAACCGGTCCTCGGCGAGCTTGCGGAGCTCGGCAATCTTGGCACGAGAGAGCTGTACCTTGGCGAGCTGCTCGTCGTGGTGCTGGTCCTCGTCGGTGTCCCTGGCCGCGCTGGAGTCTGCTGTTCGTGTCAATGTCGGTCGAGCACCCCAGCATTTCCAGCAGAAGCCGTGACGTGCACCGCTGTGGACCTCGCATGGTTCACAACGCCATTTCTTGTTGCTGCCTCCGTCGCCATTCTGGGTCTTGGTAACAACCATCCGAACTCTGTGGCTCCGACACTCATGGCCACTCCGAAATCTGAGTGTCAGTGCGCGCGCGTGCCTCCTGCAGGCGAGAGGGCGCCCGAACGCAAAATGGCTTAGAGGAGGAGGAAAGGGAGGGGGAGGGGGAGGAGGAGGAGGAGGATGGGAGGAGGAGGAGGAGGAGGAGGAGGAGGAGGAGGAGGAGGAGGAGGAGGAGGAGGAGGGGGAGGGGGAGGAGGAGGAGGAGGAGGAGGAGGAGGAGGAGGAGGAGGAGGAGGAGGAGGAGAGGAGGAGGAAGAGGGGGAGGAGGGGGAGAACGAGGAGCAGGAGGCCCCCCCTCCGAGGCCACGGGCGGGGCGCCTCCGGCCCTCGCCGCCCAGACCGCGGCCCCTCTCCGCGGGGGTCGCTGGGGGCAACGATGGGCCGGCCGCCGCTCGGGCGCCCACTTCCCCGCGCCTTCGTCTCGGCTTCGTGCGCGGAAGGGCCCAAAGGCACGCAGAGAAGTGCACACAGACCCAAGGGCTCCGATCGGGACCCCCTTCTCTGCGTTCCCCCGCTTCCCGATGCCAAGGTGGGTTATAACTGGCCTACAGTCGAGGCGTTGACCTAAGGAACCCTAAATGAGGAACGAGGCCCCTATTTTCCATAAATTGAACTTCGATTTCCCGTCGAAAACACCAGGAGAACCTGAGGCAAGCTGTGAAACGCTTAAGGAACACGGAGCTCCTCCCCAACGAAAAGGGCTCCTTCTGCAGGGCCCCGACTGTATGCTTCGCAGTGCCCCTCGCCTCGCATTCTCGTGCGCGTGTGCATTGTGCCGTTGTCGGCCTCGTTCGCGCATGCTTCGTGCGCGTGTGTTCCGGCCTCGTGCGCGCAGTTCTCGGCTGCGCGCGCGCAGTTTTCGTATTTTCGGGCCGCTCTTCGGTGGCCTTCGCTAAGAACAAATGCGCACGTCCGAGCGATGCCAAGTTTGGGGAGGGGCTGGCACATGGGGGGAAGGTCGACCTGGAATCGGCGATGCATCGCCGACAGATCGGCGATAGGTCCCCGATAGAACGTTCCACGCGCTCCTGGGCGGGGTGGGGCCATCGGACTCCCATCGGCGATCAGCGGGCGATTGGGGGCCGATGCATCCACCCCTGGGGATCGCTCGGACGTCCATTCCCTGTGTTTTTGTCGGTTTCGTGCGTAGTTTTTTCGCCAAATGATCAAGGATGCTCCTCGATGGTCCTCGCCGAAGGAAAAATGCACACATCCGAGCGATGCCAAGCCCATCGGCGATCAGCGGGCGATTGGGGGTCGATGCGTCCCCCCTGAGCGCCGCCACCCCCTCCCCCCATCGTTGCCCCCGAAGGGGTTGGGGAGGTGTTCGTGGCTCGCGCTGTCTCGGGGGCGCGGCCCCACGACAGCGCGGGAAGCGGATGGCCGCTGCAGAGGCTCGCGAGCTCGTGCTCGGAGAGGGGAAGCAGAAGGAGGAGTAGGAGGAGGAGGAGTAGGAGGAGGACGAGGAAGAGGGTATCAGCCCGTGCTCGAGGAGGGCGAACAGGAAAATATGGAGAGGAGAAGGAGGACGAGGAGGAGGAGGGAGGAGGAGGGGGAGGACGAGGACGAGGACGAGGACGAGGATGAGGAGGAGGAGGAGGAGGAGGAGGAGGAGGAGGAGCGGGGAGGAGGGGGGGCGAGCCCACGCTCGAGGAGGAGGACGAGCAGGATGAGGAGAAGAAGTCCTCGTCTTCCATGGGAGCACAGTCGGGGAAACGCAGAGTGGTGTTTTTGTTTGTTGGGTTATCCTCATCGTCCTCCCTTGCTCCTCCTCCTCCTCCTCCTCCTCGCCCCTCGCCGCCCCTTCCTCCGATCTGCCGACGGCCAACGATGAGGAGGGGGTGAGAAAGAGAGGGAAGTCCAACATGTTCTTGGACGCTTCTTTGTCCTTGCAACAACAAAATATTTGTATTAAAAGGAACAACGCACTGCATGAACATACACTTTCGGAGCTCCACGCAGACTTCTTGGATCGGCGTGCTCCCCTGGCAGCGACTCCAGAGCCGAGCGCCAGGGAGCGGGGCACAGCGTCGAGCCAAGAAACCAGCGCGGCGCTCCGAGCAGTTCTGTTCATGCAGCTTTTTGCTCTTCGAGCTTCTTGATGATTACGAGCATGCACAAATTTGTGGCTATCCGCCGGGCCATCCTTGAACGGGGCCGCCGGGCTGTGGCTCACGTCCGGAATTGAGATCCGCGGTCCCTCCTCCCCCACTCCTCGCCCCTCGACCCTCGATGCTCGCTCCTCGACCCTGGACCCCCGACCCTCGATCCTCGACCCTCGATCCTGGGCCCTCGATCCTCGACCCTCGATCCTCGACCCTCGACCATCGACCCTCGATCCTCGACCCTCCACCCTCGACCCCTCCTACCCCACCCCTCGACCCGCGTCGGAGCTGCATCCATTCTGCCACCGGCGGCGGAGCCCGGCAGCGGGGCCCCCGCGGGCCGAGCGAGACCCGCCGCAGGGGCACGGATTTGTTGCGCCGCTGCGCGACAACGGGGGGGGGGCCGCCTCCCCGACGTGGGCAGAGGGGGGCTGCCCCGGAAGGCGGCGGGCTCCTCCGAGATTTTCCCGACGTCTGATTTTCGGGGGTTGCTAAAGATGCCCCTGGCCCAAGGTGCCCCCAGCTTTTCGCTCAATTTTGGAGCTCCCGGGACCCTCTGGACCTCGTGAGGGGTGCTCTGGACGCCGTAGTGGCCTCCTTGAAACTCCTGGGGGCACCTTGGGCCAGGGGCACCTCTAGCAACACCCGAGATTTGGACGCCCGACATGGGTACGGTGGAGGCCGGTCCACAGGAAGCCTTCCACACTAGCCCCAGCCCTGAGGCCCCAGGACGTACACTGGTTTTTTGCTGTGGGGACGGCGCGCCCTCCATGGCAAAATCGTCGAAACCCAAGAAACCCAGGGCATTCTGGAGGCAAGCAGGGTGTGTCTTGGCATGGGGCCCTGGGCCCCCATTGCACAATGCCCAACAATAAATGATGCCCCAAACAAACAGCGGCCGCTGTTGGGCAGGCCGCCTTCTGTCTCAACTGAGCACAGGCCGCGGCGACGCGGACAGCAAGTACTGTTTACCATATACAGGAACTGCAGTTGGGCATTGTACACGTTCGGAAGAAGTAGGTAGAAACATGAAGTAGGAAGGCGGAACAAGTAGATTGCGTTCGAAGCCGCCCCCCCCGCCCAAAAAAAAACAGCAACAGCAAATACAATAAGTAGATTATAAATTTCCGGGCCCTGTCTTAGCGGCGTGCAATAGCGCTAGGTCGCTCGGCCCCTCGGATGGCCCTTTCCCTGGCTGGTTTCGGTTGTTCTGGCTTGTTTTCGCTTGTCCGTCGATTGCACTGCCAGCCTTTCGGTGGCTCGGCCCCTCGGCTGGCCCCATTCCATCGTTTTGCTTGTTTTTGTTTGTTTTCGCTTGCCCGTCAGCTGCGCTGGTCGCCCTGGGCACACCCGCCGCCCCGCGGTCGCTCGGCCCCTCGGCTGGCCCCATTCCTTGGTTTTGCTTGTTTTTGTTTGTTGTCGCTTGTCCGTCGGCTGCACTGGTCGCCCCAAGCTCGCCCGCCGCCCCGCGGTCGCTCGGCCCCTCGGCTGGCCCATTTCACTGGTTTTGTTTGCTGTTGTTTGCTTTCGCTTGTCCGTCGGCAGCGCTGGTCGCCCCAGGCTCGCCCGACGGACAAGCGAAAACAAACAAAAACAAACAAATCCACAGAACTGGGCCAGCCTAGGGGCCGAGCGACCGAAAGGCGGCGGGTGTGCCCAGGGCGACCAGTGCAGCCGACGGGCAAGCGAAAACAAACAAAAACAAACAAAACCAATGAGCTGGGCCAGCCGAGGGGCCGAGCGACCGAAAGGCGGCGGGGGAGCCTGGGGCGACCAGTGCAGCCGACGGGCAAGCGAAAACAAACAAAATTAGGCCAGCCGGCGGGGCGAGCGACAGAAAGGCTGCGGGTGTGCCCATGGCGACCAGCGCAGCCGACGGGCAAGCGAAAACAAACAAAAACAAACACATCCAAGGAATTGGGCCAGCCGAGGGGCCGAGCGACCGAAAGGCGGCGGGTGTGCCCAGGGCGACCAGTGCAGCCGACGGACAAGCGGAAACAAACAAAAACAAACAAATCCACAGAAATGGGCCAGCCGAGGGGCCGAGCGACCGAAAGGCGGCGGGCGAGCCTGGGGCGACCAGTGCAGCCGACGGACAAGCGAAAACAAACAAAAACAAACAAATCCACAGCATAAGGCCAGCCTAGGGGCCGAGCAACCGAAAGGCGGCGGGTGTGCCCGGGGCGACCAGTGCAGCCGACGGGCAAGCGAAACCAAACAAACAACAAACAAAACCAAGGAATTGGGCCAGCCGAGGGGCCGAGCGACCGCGGGGCGGCGGGCGAGCCTGGGGCGACCAGCGCAGCCGACGACAAGCGAAAACAAACAAAAACAAACAAATCCACATAATTGGGCCAGCCGAGGAGCCGAGCGACCGAAAGGCGGCGGGTGTGCCCAGGCCGACCAGTGCAGCCGACGGGGAAGCGAAAACAAACAAAAGCAAACAAAAACAAGGAATTGGGCCAGCCGAGGGGCCGAGCGAACGCGGGGCGGCGGGCGAGCCTGGGGCGACCAGTGCAGCCGACGGGCAAGCGAAAACAAACAAAAAAAACTAACAAAACCAATGAACTGGGCCAGCCGAGGGGCCGAGCGACCGCGGGGCGGCGGGCGAGCCTGGGGCGACCAGTGCAGCCGACGGACAAGCGAAAACAAACAAAAACAAACACATCCACAGAATTGGGCCAGCCGAGGGGCCGAGCGACCGAAAGGCGGCGGGTGTGCCCAGGCCGACCAGTGCAGCCGACGGGCAAGCGAAACCAAACAAAAACAAACAAAACCAAGGAATTGGGCCAGCCGAGGGGCCGAGCGACCGCGGGGCGGCGGGCGAGCCTGGGGCGACCAGTACAGCCGACGGACAAGCGAAAGCAAACAACAACAAACAAATCCACAGAATTGGGCCAGCCGGGGGGGCGAGCGACCGAAAGGCGGCGGCTGTGCCCAGGGCGACCGGCGCAGCCAACGGGCAAGCGAAAACAAACAAAAACAAGCAATACCAAGGAATCGGGCCAGCCGAGGGGCCGAGCGACCGAAAGGCGGCGGCTGTGCCCAGGGCGACCAGTGCAGCCGACGGGCAAGCGAAAACAAACAAAAACAAACAAATCCACAGAAATGGGCCAGCCGAGGGGCCGAGCGACCGAAAGGCGGCGGGCGTGCCCAGGGCGACCAGTGCAGCCAACGGGCAAGCGAAAGCAAACAAAAACAAACAAAACTAAGGAATTGGGCCAGCCGAGGGGCCGAGCGACCGCGGGGCGGCGGGCGAGCCTGGGGCGACCAATGCAGCGACGGGCAAGCGAAAACAAACAAAAACAAACACATCCACAGAATTGGGCCAGCCGAGGGGCCGAGCGACCGAAAGGCGGCGGCTGAGCCCAGGGCGACCAGTGCAGCCGACGGGCAAGCGAAAACAAACAACAACAAACAAAACCAAGGAATTGGGCCAGCCGAGGGGCCTAGCGACCGCGGGGCGGCGGGCGAGCCCAGGGCGACCAGTGCAGCCGACGGGCACGCGAAAACAAACAAAAACAAACAAAACTAAGGAATTGGGCCAGCCGAGGGGCCGAGCGACCGAAAGGCGGCGGGCGAGCTTGGGGCGACCAGTGCAGCCGACGGCCATGCGAAAACAAACAAAAACAAACACATCCACAGAATTGGGCCAGCCGAGGGGCCGAGCGACCAGCGTCACCCAGGGAAGTGACAACCAAGCCCTAGAAGTAGATTAGGTGTGCGCCCGCCCCAAAAAAAACCCAAAAAACATAGATTCTTGAAATAGGAAGGCGCCTAAAACAGATAGGGATCTGGGAATCAAAAAATACCTACTTTCAACGACCGGTGGGTACCCATGTCGTGCCGATCTGAGGGGCAGCTTTGTTGAGCAAGGGCCGACCGTCCCGCCATTTCTGTAGGCTCACCACGGCATGTTCTGAGAACCATTGTGTCTTAGAGCATAGATGCAGATAGGTAAAAACAAAACAGTCTCAAGAACATATGTTCTAAGAACATGTCGTGCATACCATAAAACGTTCTCAACAGATACTGTGGTGAGCCTATAGGCCAGCCAGGAAGCGTCGCCACCCCTTGATTTCTAGATGCCCCTGGGCCCTGATCAAAAGGCCCCCCTGCCTTCTAAGACCCCGCCCCGTTCTTGGGATGCCACCCAACTCGCGCCGACCCCTTATTCGCGCCGCCAACAACCGATCCACTGGCCATCCCGGGCGATCAAGAAAGGGGGTCGGCAGGACGAAAGACATCGACACCAGCACTGCCGCCGGCAAGGAGCAGTGGGAAGTATATGTGGCGATGTACGTACCGAAATATTTTGGCGTCCCGTTCTAGAG